GAACGCCATCTTCTTCTTTTAAACATTTTGGGGGCACGGTTTGTCGTCAGTTCATCTCGTGTGGCTTGGTCATGCTTTCACTAAAGCGCTCAACACATACCACAACAAGGCCTGGCAGCAATGCTCAAAATCCTGGTAAACAAGAACGAAGGTCTAAAATAATATAATCAACAGGAATTGGCGAAAAGCAGTTACAATAATGAACTTAAAATCACTGAATTGTTTCGGTAACATGCGGCTGACTCCGGTGGGACGCTAGAGAGGCCGTCTTCACCTCCCCGAGCGAATGAATGCCCCTCCGGCTGCGCCACTTCCGTGTCGGCGGGGCGCTGCGTCGCTACGTGGTTACATCTGAGGGTTAAAGCAAACTGACGGAATTCGCTGCGGACGATGCGTATCACAAGCAGGATGCGTATCACAAGTCGATAAAGTGCAGCAATAAGTTGCGCACATGTCGCACACCGAGCTCTGCCCAACAATATTGTACTCGTGCCGGGAAAATCCTATATGCTTACTTCAAACATTGACGTCATGGACAAAATGGAAATTGATATGATTGATATGTGGGGTTTAACGTCCCAAAACCACCTTATAATTATGAGAGACGCCGTAGAGGAGGGCTCCGGAAATTTCCACCGCCTGTGGTTCTTTAACGTGCACCCAAATCTGAGCACACGGGCCTACAGCATTGCCGCCTCCATCGGAAATGCAGCCGCCGCAGCCGGGATACGAACCCGCGACCTGCGTGTCACCAACCGAGTACCTTAGCCACTATACCACCGCGGCGAGGCTTGAAAAATGGAGCAGTGAGAACTCTGCAAAAGGGAACCGCTGGATTCTCGTGCGACGCACTTCCTCAGGTGTCAGAGAAGTGGAGCTGCTATGCATTTGTTTTTTTTTTCTCTGTGGATTGTACTGATCCCCCAGAAAGCCCTCTGCATACCAATAATGGTTTTGCAGTGCTTTGGAGGTCGGCCACTTTTGACCAAATAATCACGTCATGGGATGCCGTATTCATGTTACGTTGCGTTAAATACCGTCATTAATACGGCATGATGACGCAACAAATTTTGATTATTTGTGGGTCATGATTACCTTATATGGCGATGTGATAATTTTTTTTTTCTCTCGGCTCATGTCGGAGGCAACGTTGCCGCTTCCAATTGTCACTCAACGCGTTTGATGAGTCATATATGGCTTTCACCTAAAAAAAAAAAGACAATTCTCCACCATAAAGCTAGTATAAACGGTTTCGTCTGATTCATTCTGTACGCCTAATCGGTAAAATGACTGCTGCGGTTGTCCGAATCGAAATAAGTCCCCGAAATGATCGCTTTATGCTTTCGGTGGTGTTCTAAAGGTGGCTTTTGTAAAAATCAGCGCGGATAGGACGAAGCACGAGAACAGAAGGACACAGTGCGAGTGATATCTAACAACTGAATGGTAGCATCGGAGAGGGGCATGCGCAGTTAGTTTGTCAGCTATGGACGGAGACACCAGCGTAGAAGCGGAGAGAAGGAACGCGACGGCTCTGGTGTCTCGTTCCTAGCGCAGTTTTAAGTTTACAAAGATATGTCACCAACTATCCCGCCAGCACACGCTTCTCGAATTCACGCGAAGTTATGTGTGTGTACTGTGAGTATCGTAAGGCCCCACTGAGGTCTTTTACAAAGTACCGTTTTATATATTTGTTGTAGACTGTAAAAACTATCCTTCATTTCGGTGGCCATTCTTTAACATTTTCCACATGTGGCGGTGACACACATATAGATAACGGCAAAATTGCCGGCAACAGCAGTGGAGAGAAGGAGGATGATCGAGAATACAAGCACGCTTCGGTTTGTTGCCGGGCGGGTTACGTCACCGGACGGCACACAGTGCGGGATTTAGAAATGACGGTTGACTGTCCCAGTGACGGCAGTGGCTTCAGCTAGGAGGTGGCACACCGGGTCCGAACCATATGGAAAGAAAAAGTTTTTATTGCTCCAATCCCGTACCTTTACCACATACGTTTTTAAATGCGAAGCATTTCTTAGCGAACTTCGGTGACTTTGAGCGTATCTATCTATCTATCTATCTATCTATCTATCTATCTATCTATCTATCTATCTATCTATCTATCTATCTATCTATCTATCTATCTATCTATCTATCTCTATCTATCTAGCCGCTTACGACGTTTAGCTCTCCTGGCCGTTTCAATAATGGTATGAGTACCAAACTTGGTATGGCATAACATGACTGTATGAAGAACTGATTTGACTAGTCATAGCATGAAAATCATGATATGTATGTCATGAAAATCATGATTTACATTTCATGATCTTGCAGTTCTCGCGGTGGTTTCGTTCACATGACATGTTGCAAAACTGGTATGGTATGAGATGACTGCATGGCGAATGCAAGCGACAGATCTCAACATGAAAATCATGACATGCATGTCATGTAGGTCATGAATGACGACTACACGCCACGCTCATGGTGAGCTTGCGGTCGTTTCGCTAGCTTCACATATAACAAATATGGTATTACGGGGCGTGAATGCATGACTAAGGTATGTGACTGGTGCACACATGATAGTCATGAGATGCGTGTCATGTTAGAACATGACTACGTGCCACGCTCAAGATGCGCTCACGGTCGTTTCGCTAGCTTCCCTTATACCAAATTAGGTATTACGAGACGTGAACAAATGACGAAGGTATGTGAATGGTGCAAACGTGATAATCATCAAGTGCGTGTCATGTAACAACATGACTGCCTGCCACGCTGATGATGCACTCGCGGCCGTTTCGCTAGCTTCCCTTATACCAAATTAGGTATTACGAGACGTGAACAAATGACGAATGTATGTGAATGGTGCAAACGTGATAATCATCAAGTGCGTGTCATGTAACAACATGACTGCATGCCACGCTCAAGATGCGCTCGCGGCCGTTTCGCTAGCTTCCCTTATACCAAATTAGGTATTACGAGACGTGAACAAATGACGAAGGTATGTGAATGGTGCAAACGTGATAATCATCAAGTGCGTGTCATGTAACAACATGACTGCATGCCACGCTCAAGATGCGCTCGCGGCCGTTTCGCTAGCTTCCCTTATACCAAATTAGGTATTACGAGACGTGAACAAATGACGAAGGTATGTGAATGGTGCAAACGTGATAATCATCAAGTGCGTGTCATGTAACAACATGACTGCATGCCACGCTGATGATGAGCTCGCGGCCGTTTCGCTAGTTTCACATGTACCAAGTTTGGTATCAGGTGACGTGAATGAATGACGAAGGTGCGTGAATGGTGCAAACGGGATAATCATCAAGTGCGTGTCATGTAACAACATGACTGCATGCCACGCTCAAGATGCACTCACGGCCGTTTCGCTAGCTTCCCTTATACCAAATTAGGTATTACGAGACGTGAACAAATGACGAAGGTATGTGAATGGTGCAAACGTGATAATCATCAAGTGCGTGTCATGTAACAACATGACTGCATGCCACGCTGATGATGAGCTCGCGGCCGTTTCGCTAGTTTCACATGTACCAAGTTTGGTATCAGGTGACGTGAATGAATGACGAAGGTGCGTGAATGGTGCAAACGGGATAATCATCAAGTGCGTGTCATGTAACAACATGACTGCATGCCACGCTCAAGATGCGCTCACGGCCGTTTCGCTAGCTTCCCTTATACCAAATTAGGTATTACGAGACGTGAACAAATGACGAAGGTATGTGAATGGTGCAAACGTGATAATCATCAAGTGCGTGTCATGTAACAACATGACTGCATGCCACGCTCAAGATGAGCTCGCGGCCGTTTCGCTAGCTTCACATGTACCAAGTTTGTTATCAGGCGACGTGAATGAATGACGAAGGTGCGTGACTTGTGCGAACAAATATAATCATGAGATGCGTGTCATGTAAGAACATGACTACAAGCCTCACTCAAGGCACCAATACACTTCGACGGGACCAGGCACGCGTGCCCGCCGGCGTTCGTTTCGTCGCGTCACGACGGCGATGCCACGCCAGGCACCGATCTGCGCCTGCCATATACTTGCAGGCGTGCGTCGCGCTGCGTTGCGCATGCGCGTGTGAGCGTGGCGGGCGTTTCTCCGTCACTAGAGGCAGACGCAGTGCTGTCTGGGTAACCTCATCGGCGCGAAATGCACTATGTCACATCTCGCGCCGGTTGCCGCTTGGTCGCGCCGACGAACGCTGGTCGCGCTTGGCGTCAGACTATAGAGTGCACTCGCGTTGCGAGCGCAGCGTTGCTGTGCTCTGCGTGCACGCGCGTCAACGTTCTGTCCGAGTGTATTAGGTCATCCGTGATGTGCTTGTGGCCGTTTCGCTAGCTCCACATATACCAATTTTAGTATCAGGTGACGCCAATAGTCGACGAAGGTAAATGACACGTTCAAACATGGTAATCATGAAAGGAAGTAAGGTATGGCCTAATTTAGTTCCGCCTCGTAACGTTGTGCTCATTTTAAAGTAACATATCAACCTTCCTCATTCGTGCTTCGCATATCATAGATTCACACTGTACGTGTGATCTGCCATTTTTTTTTTCACCACAGCTTTTAGACCACAAAATGAGGCTGGATCACATCTGTCTGCCCAGCAGCCCCACTTCTGAATAAAAGAGTACGCCCCACCGTCTCGGAAAAAAAAATTCTGCCTACGCCCCTGATTGGCGGTCATGTATATAGCTGTCAAATTTTTTCCATCATTTTGACAGATTTTTTTTGTTGTTGTGATTCGAGACTTTAGTTGTAATTTGTGCTGTGTGAAATTGGTCCTTCTATATCTGTTTGTTTATCATCACTATGGTGCTGGATGAATGTGCGGCTTATTTTCGCGGACAGACATGTAGGAGAGTATATGCTCCTATAAGTGGCTGTCACCAAGAAAATCTGCGGCGCACGTGCGTCTCATGTAATCGCTTGTACCAGTGACGAGCAATATGTGAAACTTGTGTGTTCGTTACTCTTGCAGGTATGACCGTGCAGGACATCGAGGAAGAGAATGCACAAACCATCAACGACTTGTACCGCCTGCTGAAGAAGTACAGCAACCTCCGGGGCATCGTGCACGGACTGCAGATTGCCTACACGGACGCTAAGGTGTACCCTTTCATACCGCGCTACAACATGCTCAAGGATATGATCAAGTGCGTGCTCCGGGACCCGAGCTACATGGAGGTCTGCCACGAAGACATCTCCCGGACCTAGTGGCGCCGCCCGCTTGCCGCTGGTTGCATCAGCCTATCGCTGTTGCCGCGCTCTGTCGTATCGCGCTCTATTTCAACACCGCTGACTCTCTCGAAACGGACCGCGGCACCAGACGCAGCACTCTGCTCGCTGCGAGGGAGCCGCGGTCACGTCGCGCTGCATTGCTGCTCCTTTCGCTGCACCCCGCTCCTTCCCATCACGCTCGGCCTAAGCGCTAACATTACACAAGTAGCCCGGTCTAAATACAAGCTAGCTGCAGTTCGCATCTTGATTTATCTGATTTGGCTTTATCGAAATCGTGTTTCGTTTGCACCGATCATTTCCAAGAAACACTCGAAGGAACACAAAAAAGACAACTAAATAGAAAAGTCTCACTTCAGTGGTATCTGTCTGGACGTGCAATGAATGTGCGCGTCTCTGTATAGCCGGCTGGCTGGTGGTAACAAAACGTCATTCGTGTCAGCGTGGCGAACGAACCATCTCCACCGGTGAGGCTTCATGTCAGAGAAACGGGCCCACTGCAACGCTCACAGCGCAACACACCACTTATTGAGGTAATTGCTCGACTGGCAAGTAACCGTTCCGAAAGCGCTTTCTTCTCGCATTCTTTTTTTTTTCTCTGGCAAGCACGCGTGATACGCAAGTTTCCCTTGCTTTGCTTTTGCTCGCGGCAACGTCGTTAGCTGGGTGGCCGAGCCGAATGTGTACGACGGGCGCCAGATTTACCGCGCATAGGTGTTGCCGGCGCGGCGCCCGGGCATCGTTTATTGGGGCAAAAGTGAAAAACTGTCTCGCGACCGAGGAGGCGCACACCTAGTTCGTCGTTAGCGTGGTCATTAAGACATCCATTAGTGACCGAGCGCTGCCCCTCTCAGCCCCGTTGCCCCATCAAAGAGCACTGTAGCGGAGACACGCGAGCCTTCTCGTTTTTTCCCCATCGACGGACACACTGCTCGTCTTGCGCCGCGATCACGAAGACCGCTCAGGTGTCAGACGACAGAACTCTGCGTTTGGAAAAACTTCCTCGCCTGTCTGTGAACTCGCTTACTGTACACGGTGCCGCTTAATGTACTCACACACACACACGAAAACTCACTGTCGCTTCAACGCTTCTCAGCAACGATGAGCTTATGCGTCCTATGTAATGCTCGCAAATTAACTTACACGAGGGCCAATTTTAGCGTACCTTGGGCGCGCGACTAGCTTGCCACGGGCATATTCAACATCACGACGTATTTCATGCCAAGGAGGATAGACAGAGGAGATAAATAAATGACGCGCTCGGCAGGCGATGCCGGGCGCATTTTTCTTTTTTTTTACTGTTCCACTATCGGGGTGTTCGGGCTGTGTAGTATATATGGAGCCGAGCCCTGGGTGAACTGGTTGGGAAGACGTGCTTTCGAAGTTGCGAAGCGACTGCGTTGTCTTGTCGCGCACAGCTGCGCGGTGTAGCTCGACTGCCACTGCAAATACACGGAGGGTAGGGTCTTTTGCTCATTTTTTCCCTTTACTGCATTATCTCGTGGTTCGCTCTCCAAAAAAAAAAAACAATCTAGCGAAGAGGCGCTAGGGCGGAGCCGTGTGTACCGTATAGGAACACGCGATGTCGCTCAGAGAGACAGGGGTCGGCAACCTTTTTGCAGAAGTTGGTCGGGTGACCGAAAAAAGCGTCAGGTAGCGAGCTAGGCTGCGATTCCAGTGGCTGTGCGAAACAAAGAACCGACGCCAGAAAGTGTTACTCCTGCATTTGCTTAAGCGGTAGCCAAAAAGAAAAAAAAAACAAAACAAAACTACCAGTTAAAGTTCGCCACGTAACATGACACTGCGGCGCACGTGCCTTCCAGCGGGCCGTTATTTACGATATCAGCACAGATGACACGAGTGCTGGTGGGGTTGGTTGTTAGATAGCAATTCGAGCCTGATTAAGCTGTGAGACATTAAACGAAATAAGAAAGTGCCATAGCGGGGTGGGATAAGTCATTATTTTTCTCGTGCTGCTGTGCACGATGCTGCATGTACATTTTCTCGTAAAAATGATTCTTCCTTCGCTCTTTCTCTCTCTGGAAAAAAGCTGCCGGCTCTGTGCGCCACTGGTTGTCGACCCCTTAGCCACGCCACCTTAGACTGCGTTTGTTTATTCGAACTTGCGTATGTAAACAAAGGGTGAATCAGTCTTCATAACAGTAAACAAACAAAACATCCAGCTGCACATTAAATACACGCGCTACGAAATTGTTAATCAGTGGTATCGAGTAAAAAAAAAGAAAAAAAGTTGTACAATCGCGATATAATCGCACATCTATTGTCGTAGAGGGGCGACGGATTCAAACGGCTGCTCCTATCCACGCAAAAGCATTTTACCTGCAGTAGTCTTAGCGACCAACGTCTGTGCTGCCGCTGCTCTAGTTACCAGTACAACGCAAAGAAAAAAAAGTGTGTTAACCTTTTTGCCGCTAGTCTACCGCATTGGATCCACTTTGAATCGATCGTGTAGAAGTCGCGTCGTTGGCATTAAATATACTGCATATACCGGGTTTGTTGTTGCTTTTGTTTTTGTTTTCTCGAACAATATTTGTGTGTGTGTGTGCATGTATACGGAGCAGAGGGATGAATAGCTATTTTGGTTCCTCTCTCTATAAACGCTGTCTGTGTGTCGTACGTACATATCACAACGTGTCAACGAGCGCTGTTTTAAAACACGAGAAAGAGCGCAGTTTGCATGGCATGCCTTGTCACGCTGTTTGTATACATACGTTGATGTCTCCATGTGATACCGGGCTTACAAGGCTTCTTGTAACATATGTGTTTGCCGGTGTGCCGGATTGTGATTTTTGTAATTGTTGCACGTCGAGCTGCAGGGACACGGCCGAGCGAATGCATGCGCCGCCGCGTATTTTACGACACACGCAAGGCGCGCCCACGCGGATGCCCACGAAGACGTCGATACCGGACATGACAACACACACTAACACGCACACATACATCTATTGCATTCCCCACCTTCATTCATCTTTATCCTCAAGGAGATATTCGCTATCACTTGTCGTTAATGTATACGGTTTGTTTGTTTTGTTTGCGCCAATCTCTCCTGAAAGGTTAATTGATTGATATGTGGGGTTTCACGTCCCAAAACCACCATATGATTATGAGAGACGCCGTAGTGGAGGGCTCCGGTCTCCGGAAAGATCAGAAAGCCCGTAATACAGGCGTGTTCGCTACTAAGGCATGCCGCTTGGCTGGACTTCCAGTTAGAAACTCAAGTCAGTGCTTCACGCTGTGCAAGGATTTTCAAACGAAGGTTACGCTGAAATACGTGACTTTGGCGCAGTCGGAAATGTTAAAGTAAGCGTCGGTGCTGGACTCACTCCCCCTCCCCACCCCGTATTATTCCCTTGAGGTGTATTTTGCACACAAGCTGAGTGTACATATACACACAAGCTCACAACATCTCCTACTCCAAAATACGACACAAACATTAAAACGCTGCCTTACTATTGTTCGCTTCTCGAGGGCGTTCCTCGTTTTGGTTTCAAGAAACAGCATTGAGCGTTATTTCATTACTCTTTCAGCGATGGGCGGCCCTTCTGGTGCTGCAACATTCTCCGTCGTCACCGTTTAGAGGTGATGTTGACGGCCTTCATTTAGATGCACGTCTGTGCTGGGCTTTCGTGATGGTCTTACGGAAATGGCCGAGAGGAAGACGCCCCTCGGCCGACGAAAAGCGAGGCGGCTGGAACGGCGGCGAGTGCGTGCAGTGCAGATTGATTCCGCCAACACCAGCAGTGGTTCGGTCGACAACACACAACCGTTTCTTTTTTTTTTTTTCTTTTTCGTGCTCTCGGTGTCACCGCTTCATGTAATTCGATTGAGATTCGATCGACGAGGTGAGTGGTTATTTTCGTCTCCACTTCCGCCCTCTTCGATCGGTGCCGCGACAGATTGCCATCGTCAGTGGTGTACATGTGAAATGAAAAAAAGGTGACACAGGCTGTAGGGAGACATTGTTTAGAGCAGAGGTTAATCATGCCCCGCGGTGCTGAATGAAACGTCGAGACAGCGGCCCCTCGAGACAGGCGCGCGAACGGCGCTCGTTACAGGTTTGTGCGGGGCAACGCAGAAACTGAAACCCGCCACAACGAAACGGTGCGCAGGCCACCGGGGATTCGGAAGGCTTGAAAAAGATTGCAGATACAATGACACCACTGCAATGAAAGGTGCCTGGCATGTTGACACGCCACGCCTTAGGCAAATGCGTGTTTCCTAATGGCGACCAGCGAAGGATATTGTGTATGCAATCGTGCACACGAACTCGTGATCGTATACTAATGGCGAAAGAGCAGGTCGCCTTTAGCAAGAACTAACACAAACGCATGCTAGTCCACTGAAATACCCACAAAATGATTGCCAACACACTGCCGAGCACACGTGGCACTCCCCACTCCCATGGACGTACAGTGGGACTTGGTTAATGACGGTACTTGTTCTATGCATCATGCTATCCGGTTCCTGCATTGTCAAGAACGTTCACCAACTGGTCAAACTTCATTTCACAAAACTGTAACCTCCAGTGCCCAGTGCTGCCGTTACGACTGTGAAGTTTCCAGCAGTGTGTTAATGCTCTTAGTGGTGCATCTGTCCGGGCCTTTGAATTTCCGTGAGGCCATGCGTATGCGACCGTAAACGAGACGCCAGCCGTCCAGGAAACATTCTGCACAGATCGATGGAAAACATGCTTGCATGAAGATTAGTTTGACAGACCGGCATGCTCTTCTGCTAATGAGAGACCGTTTACTTACTTGGTATGAGTTTGCCGTGGGCGAACCCTGCACTTGGTGAAAGTCAGTGTTTAGCCGTGTTATATGTGACTAGCACGTCGGTATGCTGTCAATAAAGTGGCGGTACCGAGGGGTCACGGCGCCCCACTGCGGTCGTTACTATACCTTAAATGCAGAACAGTAAACAATGTGGGCTAGATAATTTCGAAAGATATAAAAAGGTGATCATCAAAAGCAACATTGTGTCTAATTTATACGCCATCATGAGAATTAATTGATTCCGAGCTTGAACAAAAGGAAGGAATAAGTGTCCCCTGTAAAACCTTTTATAGTTTACAGCAGAAAACAGTGCTAAGCTGTGAGGCAAAAAACAAAAAGGGACGCAAACCATTTACCATCATATTGCGCTGTTTCCTAGCCTTAATCATGATTTGACCTGCCAAAAGGCATACGCCTCTTTTCTGTTTTTTTTTTAAATCTAGTGTACACATGTTCATGAAAATTTCAGTTGCAGATTGTTCAGGCGTATTCATGTGGTGAACTAAACTTGATCTGGGAAGTAGTGGTGAGTGCTGAAGTAGTACGATGGTGGATTCCACAACTTATTACACTAACGAGCG